GAAACTATAATTAATAAAGTTCAGAATTCTCAAGATATTTGGATGACTTCTGGCTTCACGGCTCTTCACTAGCTGACATTAGAATTACGATAGTTGAATAGAGAAATATGCTTGCCCATCTTTATTTTCATGATGCCCTTGATTTCAAAGAGTATTGCCATCTTCACCTCTCCCGGGCAATGCCAGCCATAAATAATGGAAAGTGAGACATAGATATCAACCTGCATAAGATATGGCTGCATTGCGATTACAAGAACGGAATGACTTATAAGGCATAACAGGCCTAGCTTAGCTCACACAAAATAGAAAGATGAAACTTTTTTACAAGCATAAAAGAACACCTTTGTTGTATGTTACTAGTAAGATTAATGTCATGAGTTCACTTGAAGCAAGTGAAAGCAGTTGAATTAACCAGTGGAATATTTTGACATTAAAAGCACTCCAAAAGCTGGTATGCCGATAGGCATACCAGATTTCCATGAATTTATCCCTTCCTGTATTGCATCTAAGGTAGTTATTACTAGTCAATATCAAGCGAATTATGTCTGATAAGAAGATGATAATTTAATTAGATAATTGTGATTTTGCATGATTTTTGGCTGATCGCTCATCTAAGTCATTAAACAGCTTACTGCTAAACTTCTACAATAAATCCAAATATTTATCAATGTATATTTACTGTTTGGTATCAAAAGTAAGGCGAAAAAAGAGTGATTGTGTCTTTAATCTCCTTCCTAGATCTCACCGGTTTTTATAAGAACTCGTATTGACCGACTGGGCATTGACCGCTGTCCATCGAGCATGGCCACGACCCTATAGCTCATTTCTGTATCCAGCCTGGAATTCCTCTCCAATTCTACTTTACCCACTGGCCCACCCTGTATTTCCTCGACCAGAGGATACCAGTCACTGGAGTAAGAATCGCGGCCTTCTATGGTGTAAAGGACTCTGGCTTCAAGATGGAAAGGATCCATCCGCCTCGTTTGAACCGCCTTGTATGAGTCAGCACTATGATTGCCATAGGCTGACGTAGGAGAGTCAAATATGTCCTCGATATTGGTAGGTGGAGGACAGGTCTGAAGAACGTCAATGGCACTGTCGCCGAGGCGCCAGCGAAGCTGAATTTTATCTTTGGCCAGAATTACATAGCGTAGATCCTCGACACATCTGAAAGGGTGAAATATTGTGAAAAAACAAAAGCTTTTTAAGTAATGCTAATTTAGGCAGGGATTTTCTCAAATATGAAGTGATACTAACATTATGCATATTGGCATCTGCCTGGTTCGGCTATACCACCTAGTCTCTACATTTTCAGCAGTAATTTATAGAATCAGGCGGAATTTGTGCTACCGCATTACCAGCTTGCAGATACTGTGCATGTTAGCAATTATAAACACATTAGGGAGTCAGGTAATAAAAATTCCAAACTCCGGAAACACAATTATATGGCATTTGATTGTGCTTGAAATACAAAACTTTCGTTATTTTTTAAAGGAAATCGTTAATAAACCACCCTTACTGATTCGACAGCAGGTCTAAAATTGAGCCATGAACAAAGAAAGAAGTTATACTTATTAATTTTATTAAGAATTTCGTGATCAACGCTATGGTTTGTGAGTAAGAAGAATTATGGAGGCAGTCTTGAGGCATTCCTGCAATAACTTAGATGGTGATTTTTTTAAGCAATTTCAAGAGTTAATATTCATTATAACTTTTTAATTTAGAGGAAAGGTACATGCAACCAGAAGCAATGGCCTGAGAAAGTATACATTTGCAGGGCTTAAAACATTTCTCGGGTCTGTCAGAATTCGACGAGGCTGTATCTGTTGGATGCGGAAAATACTTTTAATAATATTATTAGTTTATTTTCGGATATTTTCTTAGATAATTTATTTTTAGATTGTTTGGAAATAAGTGTATTCGTAAGTTAACCTTCCAAAAAACTACAATGAACTATCTTTATACCGACAGACGGGGCTAAATTAATCTCACCAGCCCGTTCTTGTCTGGCTCTAGTTACAAAAAGCTGATGCATACGAGAAAAGATAGAAGACTTTGTTTTGCTACCATCAGTTACGGCCCTTAATTGTGCTATTTTATCTTCCTGGCTAAATTAAATTTATTAACAAGTTATAGCTTGTATATGAATACAAAATAATCTAGCATAAACATTTATCCCATTAACCAAGATTGAGGTTTGCTCTAACATAAATACAGGAATTCTTTCCGTTTTATTTCCCTGAATATGAGTATTTGATGACAGAGTGATTTTCTATTATTCTGCTATCCTTACAAAGATAGTGATATTATATGTCAGAGGTTGGTTTTCACAAACACCGATGTAGCAAATAATATTATATCATAGTGTAGGATAATGGTCTTAATTGTGATGTGAACTATCGCTTACTGGAACGCCCATATAGAAATAACCTCGATTCTCTGGCATTTCCTTGATAACGCGATATTTTTAGCCACGTTTTGCCCTTCAGCCTATATGCAATTCCTCCTAATTTATATTCCTTAGATTAAATTGTGTGAAGCTTACTAGAGACGGCAGAGCCTTTAAAGGTAAAGAAATAATAATAAATGCCATAGGATACATGGTAGAAAGTTATATCCCAGTAAAATATCTGGGATTTGGTTGGTTATCCATATTTTTCATGCTTCAGAACTAGTCAATACTAAAGCCACAAAACTTTATCATGTATAGTATGAAAAGATAAATAATTTGATTTAACAAAGAGGTATTTTACATGAGGCAATTGTAGCCTGTTTATTTTAGAATTAAACAGCTACGTAGACCTCTTGATTAAGCTTAGTTTTTGTCTTGACAATTGAAAATTTATTTCATATGTAGAAACCGGAAATAAATAACTGTAATGAATGAACAAGTTTTACTAAAAGCAGGCTGATCTCCTTTTCACAACTTGAGGTCGGGAGGGAGTGTTTAATACGATAAATCAACTTGGTAATAAGGAACATTTGTGAGCGAATATTTGGACTTCTTAGGGGATCGCCACCTTCATTTCTTTTGGCGAACGTATACATGGGCAAATTAGAAGAGAACTTCAAAATTTCACCGCTTCAACTAACAGCGCTCATGCGGTATCCAGACGATTACTTCGCACTTTTGTCACATGGAAAAGAAATACTGGAAGATTTTCTGAAGTTTAGAAACCAGGCTGTTGAAAAAATCAAATTAAGGATTGAAATAGAGTAAGGTCAGCGGTTACCTTTGCTGGATGTTGAAGTGATTCGCCTTAATGGCGAAGGAAGTCATATGCTGGAATAATACTCTGTTTCTAGTCCAATCAAAACTACAGGCTAAAGATAAATCGAATGAGGTACATTATCATCAGAAGCCACGTTTAATGGATGTGGAATTCTGGGATGAAGAATTGGACAAATCGACTCACATATGCCTCGGCAACGGATAGCCGGGAGAAGTAATACAAAGAAACATATGGACCATGAAAAGCCGATGGCAGGACAGGGATTATGAAAGAACAGTATGGATAGAGAAGGACTCACAAATGTAGATATGTCTCTCTTCATAAGAGCTAGCTCAAAAACTACGGCCAATACTAATAAATTGTAATATTAAGGTGGCTACGAAGAAAAAAACAACACTTTTCACATGTCTAGCCAAACAATATGAGATGATGGTCGAATTATATTGTTTGGAAGTTTATTGCATAACATGCTGCGCCTGCGAACGGAAATGTATTGGCGAAGGACGGAGAAAAATCAGCATACTAATCTAGGAACATCAAAGGGTTTGCAGACAAATGGATACCGAAAGATCAGAATTAGTGGAAAATATCGCACAGACTGGACACGAGATAAATTGGAAATCAACAGAAAGAAGGGCCGCATATGGTGACAAAACAAGGAAGCGGAAGATTAGGGAGTCCAGTGACATTTTTGGGAAAAAAAGCTAATGAACGGAAGATTGCCTGTTGCTTAGGCAGACTCAGGGCAAACAAGAATACAATAAGACCCATGAAGGCAATGCCTGATATCTGCAAGCATGGGAGTCAGAGCACATGCGCTCTGCTCGGTGAGGCGGAAGTGTACGTGCTGGTAAGGGCTGGAGAAATAGCGCCTAGACTAAAACCCATGCTAGAACTGGAACGGAGTGAAATCGGTCAACCAGAACGATAAGAAATGAATCTACAGAACCATGAGGGAGGTCCGGATAGAAGGCTCGAGTCGAATTAGTCAATCGAAAATAGCACTTCTTCTGAAGAGTGTAATGTAAACATTTTGGAAGTTGTGATAAAGCGGGAGGGAGATGATAGAGTAAAAATTAGATAAATGGGCCAGAACAGTAAGAGGAGTGATAACACGACAGTTTCGGCAGAAAGTTTGGTCAAGGGATAGGTTTTAATCGTCTATTTGACGAGCTACAATTTGGTGCCGAGAATGGCACGACCCGTAGATGAGGCTGACTGCAATGCAGGCGAAATGACTGGGAATGTACCAAGTTCACGGTCTGCCGCTGGAATTATGATAACTACCATAACAGAGGACTACGGACAAGGTGAGTCCAACTAGGGGACCCTGGCAACAGGACCAAGTTGCGAAAACGATGTCAACTAACTTCTGTATAGCTAAAGGCGACTACAACAATACCGATGGCTACACCATCTTGGCATCCATAGCTTCGATGTTTTACTAAACTTTTGTCGAAATTGGCAGGAAGACCTAGAGGAACGCACTTTGTCCGGGGTCCATAGTATGCATGATAATGTCTAGAGTTGGCTGTAGACTTGGTAAATTGATTCTGGATAAAGTGAGTTCCTCTAGGCCTTCCTACCAATGTGACCAAGTTGCGAAAACAAGGTCAAACAACTTCTATACAACGAAAGACCACACCATGCTGGTCGTCATATCTTGTCGAAATGTATGCAGCAACTTTGTAACGCAAAGCACTGTTTACAATCATACATATGCTATTGAAGATATGAATGTAAAGAGGCTGTATTTTAA